TACTGATATTTAATATATGAGGGATTCCATCTTGAAAACGAATCTATAAAAACAAAAGACTTCATTTCGAGCCGTATTTGTGTGAGGCGCATTTATTTGGTTATCACTTGTGCGCAAGTTGACTGTGTCTAAAACATATATTTTGTTCGCTTTAGCATGCACGGTTCGAGAACTGAACTCAACATATTATGCTTCAGATATTTCAATCTGCGCCGAACTGTGATAGTTGTAACCGTGTGCCAAGAAGTAATATGGCTGACTGCATCGTCTGCGACCCAGTAGACCGCTTGTACCTAGTTGCTTATGAACTGTTGTAAACGTATTTTGTGAAGATTATTTCAAAGTAATGTAGAGTATGATAGTATACGTAGATTGGTACTATGTGATATTGATTGTGCATACATTATGACCATGAACTGAAATAACAGGACAGAAAATGTTCAAAACAAAAAAAAACAAAAAGAAACTGTTTAAAACTAAAATAATTCAGAACAGAAACAGTTTAATACAATAAATGTTCCGAACAAATGAACAGGGGACAAGATAATAACAAATAACAAAACATCTAAATATATCATATAATAATCGAAAAATAATCAAAAAATATGAAAATCTGAAATTGTTATAGAAAAATGTCGATAAAGGGGATTATAGTAACTAATATTGTGTAATGCTAAAGGAACAAAAAATCCCTCCCCATAAATGAATGAATTGCTCTTCTTTCGGAAATGAATCATTGGCTGTGTCCTGAGGTGATTCTGCGAATGACGTTAATTAAATCGCCCACTCGTCACATTGTTCGGCAGGCACTGTGTGAAAATTGTGTTAACTTCTACATCATTTATTTATTTCTCTTTTTTAATACACATACAAGTAACCACAGTCCTCCTTGCGACTAGTATTAAACCCAATCAAAACAGCGTGTATTCATATTTCTTATCTAAATATATTAGACATACTAGTAATCTATACACTTACGCATTGAATGTATGTCACATGTGTCACACTGAAAGCGTGTTGTCATGGAAATGGCCTTACATTGATTGGTAATTATAGAGAATTAGTTTTCATTTGTAAAATTTAGTACCATTAAGATATGAAGGGAAGCGTGGTCGGATGAACTATAGACGAGTTCCTGTTACACTGATAAGGGTATTGTGCAAACACAGGGAACAAGATATTTGATGGACAAATTGTGTTCAATTGGCGTATTTGCCCCTAATTGGTAGCAAGGGACGTACTGCAAAGATCCAATAAAGATGAAATGAAAGTCACATTTTTGGAGAACACGATGGTTTGAGATAAATTAAACATACTTAAATGTGATGGACAACAATTCTGTGTATTCTGAAAAAGTACGTTGGTTTTGATATTGGATTTAGTCAAAACAAGTACTTTATATTGGTAGTCGTGATCCCCTCCCAAAGCAAGCACTGGAGACATTAACAGTAACATGTGATTGCCGGTATAGGAATATTTTGACGGCAAAATGATGAGTCGGCAAGTAAAATCAAAATGTATAAACCAATCATCTTGGTCCGACAATTCATTGAGTTACGTAATAACTGCAATCCCATGGCACTAAAGTTCTAGATTGTGGAATACGAATTGAAACATGTAAAACATTTAGTCAAACATTTGCTTTTTCAAAAGGAAACATTGAAATGTATTATTTGTAATCATGTCATCGAACCACGTGGGTATTACTTATGTCTTATACTTGAAACAGTTCCGTCATCAATGGAATGATAGGCATGGTCATCGCGCCGCGTCCTGTTCAATGAGGGTTTCATAGCAACGTGTACAATGCGTGTACATTGTTTGTTGACACGAAATTCAATCACGAGCTGCGCAACGACCACCATCATTTAACTCGATAAATGACCCCAGGTCAAGAAATAGTAAGTCCATATCTGCTGCGATGTATCTACATTTAATTATTTTTAACGACGCTGCGCGCGGCGATGATTATATCGCCGTTAGACAATTCAAGCTGAATTCAAATTTCGCACGTCTGAGCATGTCACTGCCGATATGCAATGCATTGTGGGAGAGAAGATTGCATTTTGCACTACTGAGCACGTTACTGCACATATATGCAAAGCATTATGGGAGAGAACTTCACATTTTATATTATTATTATCGCACGAGAAGCTCACTAGCTAATTAATTGTATGTTTTAGGATTTATATCAATAAAAATGATATGAATTTTTAGATATGGGGAAAAATAGGTCATCATAGAAGCTAAGACATATTTTGTTTCTGGAAAGTTGTAGAAACAGCCATCTCTGTTCGCATTGTGAAATAAAATGATATGCGTATTTGTCAGTAATTTGTTTCCCAAGATTAATACATGTCCGAGTGCTCACACATATGTACGTATTCAGTTTATGTAATCAATATTCATTCCTAAAGGAACCTAACTATTTCACGTCTTGTCATTATTTTTGTGTTCATTGACGTCTTTATTATTACTGACCACCACCACCCATCGTTACTCATGCATGCAAATGGACGAACAGATCTCGCTGAGAGCGAGGAAATAGCGAGACTTAATTTGGCTCTTGAATAATCTATCATCCTCTCCCTCATCGCGTTCACTGTTCCAAATACCGTATGTCGTATTGGTTACATAGAACAGAATAAGTGTGGAGTGGACGCGATGGCGAGGACAATAGAACTCTACTTGAGGGGCAAAACATTGCCACATAGCCCTTTAGCTCTCAACGAGATATTGGCATCCATTTACGTCTAGCTGATTGAACTTCAATATAGTTGTATCGTAATTTCCAGAATTCACCCTGAGTGGAAAGTTGTGTCGTATGTGCACTATCATATATAGTTTCAAAGAGTGGGAAAACATATTAACTAAAAGATTATTATAAAAAAAATAATTTGTGTTTTACCCCTCTCATATAGACACTAATAGACTGTTAAATAAACTACAAAAGCCATTGGCAATGGGAATAGCCTATACTCTGTCAGAGTAAATGAAAGACAAACTATTTATATTATTTAATGTGCTTTTCCTACTCCCGGTGGTATTGCGGTATTAATGAACTCCCCTCGCGTATACACACTTAATAATTTATCAAGGAAATATGACAGATTGCAAAGTGTCACTAATAATTAATAAAAATCATTCTGATGTTGGCACTGGCAATTGATCATTGCAAGACACGCCATACTGTATTCGTATCCCTACAATAAAACCTTCTCTCTCTCGTGTTAGCAGCTGTTTGTTCACAAGTTTTCAACTAGTACTGAGAGCTGTATATTTACCCTTCTTTTCTTGTTAGTCAAAGAATGCGCATGAACGGTGAGCGCTTATGCTTTCAAGCGGGGAGGTCGTCACCTGCGCACGCCGGAAATTGAGTCCC